AAGTACACACTTTGGTGTTCCCTGATATCGAAAAAGTTGTTTTTTTCCCCTTCAAAACGTCCGTCCGTCCGCCCATCTGTCTGTCTGTGCGCCTAAACCATATGTGCCTAAACCATACGTTAATTTTTTTTCAAAATGGATATACATCGGTCGATCTGGCTCGACACAAAAAAACTACGATTTTGAAAAACTTCGTTCAATATTTGAGGGTACTTTTCATGAAACCTCCCGGACATTTCAAAATTTCTAAAAAACGACTCCAATTATTGTCTTTCAATTTCTTGAAAAAACAGAGTAAAATACACTTACAAAGTTAGCATAGATCCCAATTTCAGGGTTAAATCTGAATTTTCGAAAATCTTAAAAGTCTCAAATGTTTCGGGCATCTTCTTACAACTACAAAATTGATGAGAAAATTTTCCTTCAGATAAAATTTGTTCTCTCCAGTGAGTTTTTATTATGATCATGAACATTTTTTGGAATTTTTTAGTAGTTTTTGCGCAATATTGCGTACGATATGTGCATTTTAAAAAATTGCAAAAGCAAGATTTTCTAAAGAACGGCTCCAAATTTTTTCTTTAAACTTTTAATAGGCATGGTGCTAAAAGCATTCTATAATATGACATAAGCACCATATTGCTCTATTCTTTGGTTTTTTCAAATATTACAAAAACGTAATTTTTGGACTTATCTCTTACGTCGTTAATATTTATAATAGCGGCAATTTGTTCACAATTTTATATTTATGAGTACATGTGCTTTAAATACTGTCGTATATAGTTTCTCGAATACTCCAGCGTTTTTAGTGAAAACAAGCTGAAAATCCCGCATTTTCAGAAACGCTCAAAAGCCATTTTCTTGAAAACGACTCCAAATTTTTCCTTCAAACTTTTCGAACGAGTAGTGCTAATTCCAATCTTTAATATGACATAAAATTCATTTTGGGGTATTCTTTTTATAAAAAATTACACAAATGTAATTTTATGGGACAGTTTTTGCCATTCTGTAGCACCACTAGTTACTTTCTGCTTAAGCAGTAGAGAGAAAGTATTGTAATGCTGCGTCAAAAAATGGATAATTTTCGACAGAAAAACTCTGATTGCCGGCCCATGGTTACGAAAAAGGAGATAACACTCAGTTGCGTCTACACGGCGGGGGGTGAGGGGAGCTGTGGCGTTTCGCCGCAGGCCCCGAATTAATCTTAATCAGGGGTCCGAATTTTTGCTTTCTCGCTACTGCTTACAAAATATAATAATACTGAGAGGAAAAATTATGAATTTTCGATGGAAAAGCTGTAATTGGTGGGCAACGATAACGAAAACCTGGATACATCTTGTTTCTATGTACAGTAAATGACTTCCTCTAACACGTGTAACTCCACAGAATCTATGATTTGTGAGTACTTGATATCGAAAAATCCATTGACGGCAAAACGTCAGTCAGTCGGACGTTCTTTGTGTGGTCAACGCTAGCGCCTAATTAAACCGTTCAGCGGATTTTCTCCAAAATTGATATTCCCCTATCGATCTGAACTTCCTCGAGGTTTTGAATGTTTGAAATATATATTTTGATTTCAGAGGGTACTTTACACGAAGCTTCAACATTTTCAAAAATGGCTGATTAAATTTGCCCTCGGATAATTAATATTCTCGGATGATTAAAGCAAAAATCTCTATCTTCAATTTTGTAGGTTTGAAATATAACTTTTTACTTAATCGCCTTACAAATTCTTCGTAAGAAGAGACATTTATGTAATCGTGCGGCGGAAAACGAATTTTCGCCAGAAAAAGTCTTATAGCCGGGCTCTGGTAACGAAAAAGGGTATAAATTATTTTGCTAAATTTAGGGGGGAAATCCTCAAACGCGTAATGTAGCCAGAATCCAAGTTTGGTTGGTTCTTGATACCAAAAATTAGTTTGAGGGCAAAACGTCCGTCTGTGGTCAACGTTAGCGGCTAAAACGTTTAGTCGATTTTCTCTATTATTCCCAAATCGATCTGGCTGATGTCGCGGACCCTGAAATTTGAAACCGATATTTTAATTTTGGGAGATACTTTACATGTGTCAGTGTTGCCGAAGAAAACTATTTAAATTTGCAGAAACATAATTGAAAATCATTTGAAGCACTTCTAACAAATACAATCAATTGAGATAAATAAGTGTGTATGTAATTTTTGAATTTGCAACTTTTAACCTCCTGTTTTTTAACATTTTCAGCTCCGTAACGCTAGAACTGAAACAGTCGTGTCTTGAGTAATATGGAAGTGCGGAGGTCTTGTCCTCTTGGATGGCCAAGGTTGTTACGTGGCATGATGGCGTGTCGCCGGTTCGAGTCCCACACGGGGATTTAATTTGATGAAAGTGCTGCCGTATAAACTATTAGTGATTCGAGAGTTTATTGAAAACCATTTGAAGCATTTCTACCCACAAATGCAATCATTACATATATAAATAATCCGGACGTCTATGAACGTGCTTTTGCAATTTGTAATTTTTTTCAACTTTCTTTTGCGATTTGAAAAACATAGGAGACGTCACATAAATTGTTAAGCTTCTGTGGATCTATATGAACCGATTTAAATAAACTAATGAATCTATCGACGTGAAATTTAAATACAATATGATCACTAGCACTGTAACCAACCTAGATAACCCAAACATGTTCAGAAATTATTATTACTTTCTCGCCTTACGAATTCTTTGTAAGTAGAGAAAGTTATGTAATCGTGCGCCAGAAAACGCCAAAATTTCGCCAGAATAACTTTACTGCTGGATTCTGGTAATGAAAAAGTGGATAAATTCTGTTGCTAAATTTAGAAAAAAGAATCTCTAAGTCGTGGTGTAGCCAGAATCCATATTTTGTTGTTTCTTTATACCGAAAAATCGATTGACGGCAAAACGTCCGTCTATCAGCTTCTGTCTGTCTGTCCGTCTGTGGTTAAAGCTGGCGCTTAAACCGTTACGCTGGTATTCTTCATAATTGATATTCCCTGATTGATTTTAACGGACTGGAGGCTTTGGAAGTTTCTAACCGATATTTTGATTGTCGAAGGGTGTTTTTTACCTGAATCGGGCATTTACCTTTATATATCTTTGTCCGAGTTCGGTCTATGCAGCGCTTCTGTGTCATAGTGGTATGAGTGCCGGCACGTTAACTCTAAGTTCATGTCTCGGAACGAAAAAATAAATAGCTGCTTGACAACACTTTTGCTGGTTATGTTATAGTGAAATGTTGCGGAGCTTTTAGAAACAAAGCGAGAAAGTACGTGCTTTGGCAAGACCATTAGTTGGAATTTTCGAAAATACTGAAAGTTTGCCGAAAATGAGACTAGCGCCATAGAATTTATCACCCTTTGATGCATATGTGGAGATAATTTAATGACAAAATTTGGAACAATTTGGTATTTTTAGAACAGATTTTTTTGACACTAAAATTCAGTCTTAAATTTTGTCATTTTGAAATGTTAACTTTTTGGAATTTTGAAAATATGGAGTTTTCTTGTAAGTGAATAAAAGTGAGTGATGCATAAAAAATACACAAAAAATCTAAGAATACATCAAAATGATGTTTATGTAGGGTATAAAATTGGCACCAGGCTCTCCATTACACTCTACTTTTATAATTTTTTTATGTTTTCATAGAGCAACTGAACTAGTGACCACACTACTAATGATCCATTAATGGTAATCAGATGATGTACAATCTCATTTCACAGAGGTTTATCGAGGTAAACTGGCGTACATGAAAGGCACTGATATTTCCTCTATTTGTGGAAACTGGAGGAAGTTAATTTATATTCTGACTCTCAAAGTAAAATGATAACCTGTTTCTAATTTATTAGCAAATGTATTAATTATCTCTCTTTCATTATTAATTATTATGGATAACATCATCAATAGAGGTTAAAGAAATTACTTAACATGAAAAGTAGATCTGATTGAAAGCAATTGTACTCATTTTCTTGCAAAATATTTAACTAAATTTATTTACAATTAATTTAATATTATTTTTTAATATTTAAAATTTTGTTGCACAGTAAACATGGTGAGAAGAAAACGCAAACAAAGAAGATAACTACCTTGCTTCAATATCTGAAATCAGGACTACCCCAAGTCATACAAAATATTATAAAAGTTTCTTTTATTACATAGTTGTATCTACATTATCTTTTCCCTTTTCAATAACTATTTAAAAATTCTACTAATAATTTCCCAAATTCAAATTAATTGTCATTAATTTCTTGTCTTATTTGCAAATTATCTATCCATGAAATATGCCATCCTTACTGAAATCGTAGATCAGTGGTGTACATCTGGGCTAGCTGTGAAGCCCAAATGCAGCAAAAGAAGAAAAAAACAACTCACCATTTGTTTATAAACTACATGAATGTTATAAATATAATTTATTATAAGTATTCATTGTAAACTAGAAATACAAACAAACAGGGTAAGCCCCTCTCTGTCAGTCGATATCGTCAATTTGATGATAAGATAGCTAAAATCTTAAACTCAGGATACACCACTGTTATTACAGAATAGTCTAATAAGACTTCATTTGACAATAAATTTAAAATGAAAATTTGATGAAAGCAAAAATCTTAAATTTAAACAAAAAAGGTAAGTAACATTTTGTTACTTAAAAGTTCATGAATTATTATTATTTGCCAAATAATCTACCAATCACAGAAACTTATGTGGGACAAGAACATTTGTTTTCTTCAGTTGTTAAAAATCCTGATTGTCCTGAATAAGTGGAAACTTACAAAAGAATTAGAATATTTATAAAATATTTACAAAAGAAATTACTTAGAATAATTATCTTGGAGAATCACAAAATACATAATATTTTAATAATTCATAATTATGAATGACTTACTTGTATCATTATAAATGAGTTAATACTTAGCAATTAAAGCTGATAAGAAAAAAGGTTTTGTGGACCAAATAGATTTTTGTAAAGCAATCATAATATTTGTAGCTTGGATACACAAATTCAAAGACTGTAAATGAGAGTTGATTGTTTTCACTAATGGAAAAATTAGCTGATTATTTGATTAATATCATAAGCTAAGTTCTAAGTCCCGTAATTGTAGTGTGTATATTTTATTGTTGGAGGTGGCAGTGATTGCCCCCCCTCCCCTGGACGGTGACATCCGGTGCCAGTTTATGGGATTTTCCCCAACCAGGTACCTCCTACCAGCAGAATACAACCCCGGGCAGGACAAGCACTAACCTCTTACATATGTGGTAGTGCACATGAGAGTGTAATAAAGGGATAGGACAAGGAAGGAAAGATTGCATGTGGTCCATGGCCAGGTTTGATAGGTATCACTCCAGCATTCACCTTGTGTTGATTGGAGAAACTATGGAAAACTAACAATTAGAGTAGTAGGTCACTATAATTCTCCTTCAGACAGCAGCTACATTCGACCTTGCAATAGGGTAATGATATATACCTCCTTAGTCTATGACCTTGCTATGTAGCTTGCTGCCACCATCAGGACTCAAATCGTAAGACCTCTTGGTCAGAGGCACTGCAGTGACATCAATTGATGCACTAGTCACCCAGTAGAGAAAAATGATAATTTCTTAGAAAATGAGCTGGTTTTCCATTACTTTGAATACCAAAATCATCTTAAGTGGGTGGGTTTGAATTCTACATAATGCACAAATGCTGAGTGCTGTAGTGCCAAAGATCAGATATAATTATTATATATTACACTCTACACTCTTCCTTCCTGTACCAAACTAATGCCCTCCGTCAAACCAGCCATCTTTCACAAAGATGGGTGAGGGTACCTTCTAGAGACTGATAGAGATAGGTCTATGAGTCACCTCCAACAGCTGAGGAGGGAGGGTCCATCCCAAAATGGACTGAAAGTTTTGTGATGAGAATAGAAAGAGATTTTTGAAATGATGGGTTAGGTGGGACATAATTAATAGAAAGGGGACTTGATCAAAAGTAAGTTCACATGCTATTGTCACAATAGCCACTTTTCACACAAAACTAAATATAGGACAATAAGTAATTGCCTCCTAATTGGACAAGCACTTGGTGATTTAGGTGATGATACAATAATGAAACAGGGGCCTTTTTTTTGGAGTGAAAGGGACTAAGTTCCAAAAAAAAAGTATTTAAAAATGGTGTTCTTTTGTTAAATGTATAGACTAAAAATGTACTGTGGTTTTTGCTAAAGAAAAAACTTAGTATGCAATATTAAACACACAATATGACAATTAAATTTTATACAATCTAAAAGGTGCTGAAAGTCAATATTTTTGAAACTTTTTTTTATTAATGTTTCACACAATCATGTTCTATTTCTTTTCTTTAGAATAGTAACCCTTAATGTTTCTGACAATGTCAAATTGGACAATATAGTAATAATCATGTCCAGGTTTTTCTTTTTTTTATTAATAGAAAAGTACCCACACATCAGTATCATTACATTTTGGTGCTGTATTCATGAGGATAGAGATAAATATTTACCTATTTTTCTAAATCAGATTTGAGCTTTATGTCGTGTAAACATCAAAACTTTTTTGTTTGGAAATGGCATGGAATTAATGGTTTCATTTAATCAATTTTTTTATTCTAAAATATTTCATACATCCAATTTTTTATACATTTAAATACTCTTTTACATTACTTATGCATTCAATTTCTCAAATCTTGTATAAAAAATTAAATATCAAATTCACAACATGGTAAAATATAAAATAAGCATTCACACAGCATTTTCAATAACATTCAAAACAAATGTTAATGTAGTTTTAAAAAGCACTGAAATAAGCTGTCTTCAAATTTTTCAAAGATTCCCCTTAAAATTTAAGAAGAATTTAGTTCTTACGTTTACAAAGTTTTGAATTCTCAAAGAAGTCTCATGCTCTCCATGTTCCGGAGGATGAGGCAAGGGAAGGGGGAAGAAGTCTAAACACAACCCGTTCACACTGCTAACTCCCAAAATACTTTCTGGAACTGTCCCTAGACTGATCTCCAGGAAAAAAGCTTCATAGGAGGCAGTTAACAAGGTTTCCCACTCGGAAACCTTCTAAACAACAGACAACCTAAGTTTACAATAACAAATTATTTGTTTCTCAACAGATATTCTGGCCAGATTAAAAAGACCACAATCTGAAAAACAATATCTGTGTGAAACATTTTAGGAAAAAATCACAGAGGAAAGTCAATAGGCTTTACTCTAACAGTCAAATGCAACAAATCATTATTTTCAAAGTATTCAGCAAAATCTAATGTTACTGTAAAACAGTCTTGAGATGCAAAAATGGTTTCAAAACTTTTAACATGTGTGGGCATTTTTCCAGTGAAAATGGTTTTGAGGCCAGTAAATTTGGAGTCATCATATTCTTTCATTTCAAATTGATATTCTAATTTTTCTGCCTCTTGTTTTGGACCAATGTATTGTACTGCTCCATATAACTGTGATTCAGTTTCTGAATACATATATTTTATCCAGAAGTTTCCGAGTCGATTCCTAGAAAATAATGAAATAATTGAAAAAAGGAAGTCAAGAACATCAAAGGGTAAAATAATTAATAATATTTTGATTTTCAAGAGACTGTCCTTTTCCATCAAAATCCTCCCTGAGAATCCTGTTATGAGGCCACCATGAGTTGGCTCAAGCTAGTAAATATCCTTGCAAAACACTACAATAGCCTAAATTTAATACATACAAATATACACTCCTTGCCATGTTTAATTTCCTACACCACACTTACGTCTCACACTGCCATTTACACATTAATTGTTGCTTCCTTTTCTCACAAACAGTTCCAGAAACAAACAGTGCCTACTTTGATGATCCCCTTTATCAAAAGAAGCTATAACTGACTTTGAAGCACAAAGAACCAAGTGATGTTCTATTTCAGTGAACTTGGGAACATCTTGAACAACATCATAAACATTAGAGATATGGCATGGGCAATTTAATATAAAATACTAGTAATCCAGACCATTGTTAATTCACGTTCTGGAAGTTCACAAAAGGAAATATCTTATTTTGTGTCCAAAAATAGTGTAAGCCAAATAAGATACTCTAATAAGTATGTTATGATGGTATGCACTGGAGAGCAGAGGAACTTGTGAGTAGGAGGCAAGGAGCAAAGTGAGTGCATTGAGCGTACGAGAACATGTTGAATAAAGCAGACTGACTTGTGATAAGTGTATTATTTTAATAGCCATTATAACAAAGTATTTGTTAAGAAGTTAAGAGAATTTAAATGATGTTTTAATCATAAAACAATATTGTGAGAACTTTCATCAGATAATTCTTTGGCAACTTACCGAATTCTGACTCCACTGATCAATTTTGTCACAGATGATTGTTAGCAAATTGAATTGATAACATACAACTATTATCACAGTAAATTAAATATTTCATCAAATTGATTTGAAAATTTGTTTTGCGCTTGGAAACCCTTCTTTAAACAATTATTAAACTCCCAGGTATGGTAACTCTTTACGACAAGTAAAAGAATTCAGAAGTTTCAATGACAGACATTAAGCATTCACTAAACAATTGACCAAAACAGTTAATAAGTGCTTTGTTATATTCTATTACGATGCAAATGATGCTATTTAATGATGCAAAAATATATTTTTCACCATCATATTTCTTTGATTATCATCAAAGTAAAATACTGACATGTTTATTTTTTATACTGCTGAGATACAATAATACAGGTAAAAATTAATTTACTAGACCTATACTAAATTTAGAATTGTATATTATTTGTATTTCTACTAGAATTTACCCAATAATTTACTTGTAATATTCTTTGTAAAAAAATAATTGCAATAACAAGGATTTCATATAGAAAATCATGAGAAGTGAAAATTAAAATGACCCTACTCTATACTACCAAAACTGGTATAAAATCAAAACATTCTGTTCAATGTAAGTAGTATCCTTACCTCAGAAACTGAATATGATGAACTCCATCACACCTAGTGATTATGTTGCGAAAAGTAAATTCAGCTTCCATTCCCTTCGTAACTCTCTCTGCATGTGATTTCTCCATATGAGCAGCCAACTCCTTGTTATCTCCAAGAAAACCGCATTTTGAAGCGAAGCATTGCTTACGAGCATATCTGCATTCCACCTACAACAAATAAGTAGGTTCAATATTTTTGAAACCCTTTGTATGATAATTAACCAAACATTTTGAAATACAATAGTAAACAAAATGCCAATCTATAATTTGCATAAATGATCAAGATCATTTTTATTTTTACTAAGTTCCTAATACTTTTCTGGATTAAATAGTTTCAATTATATTTCATTGTGTTTGTACTCTGAATAAATTAGGTTTTCCCCAGCCATCAGTACCTATAGTTTCTCTCATTTACCAATTACTAACTTTGTAACAAAAAAATATTAATGGAAATAAAAAGTTTCTTTTAACAAACGCTGAGAAAATTCACAGGGAATTACAGGAAAGAAAATGTTAAAAAAAAGTAACACATCTTTGAAAATATTAATTACAAATTAATAATCTACTCGTAACTAATGAATAAATAAAATTTGGCAAATTCTGTTTTTCTTTTTGTACAACGTATTTGATTTTATGACTTCCATCCTGTGGCAAATTGCTTTACCCCCATCAGCTGATCATATACAAGTTAATAATAATATCAAAATGATGAACATTTTTGATTAAATCATTTTTTTCCCTTCTGAAAAAGCAGTCAATTTTGTCATATTGCACCACCAGTAGAAAAGTGTCATAACACAAAAAGTTGATTTTTTAGAAGAGTGCTTTTGAAATTACATGATCAAATCACGTTACTAAGTATGAAAACCACCAATAATTGGTTAAAATAGGTCTAAAAAGAAATTTCACTACGTTAGGATGCAAGAGCAAAAAAATTCACTTGAAATAATGTATATACTTTAAAACTCAATTTTTTTAAAAATTACATTACACTTTTCTACTGGGGGTGCAACATGTCCTTTTGAACTTAGGGTGTTAATTATTCAAGAAAGAAAATTTGAAATCGTTAGTTGATGTGCATTAAATATTTTTTAAAGTTTATTCAGCATTAAACAACTAATTATGTGTCCTAGAAATTGAAAAGATAAAATCAAAATTAAGAAAGAGTCAAAATTATACAACAGTATTTGATTTGCTTTTAATACATTTATTTTTTCAAAACTTTTACTCTTGAATAAAAATGTAATGATTTTAATGTTTCCATAAGAAGCTGATGATGGTAAATATAAAGAAATTACTTATTCATGATTTGGGTATTTACAAAAATATAGTCAAAACAAGAATATGTCCACCAATTTTGCAAATTTATACTTAGTGTAGATGATCTGGAATTGCTTTAATATTTTACATGCTCAGATGATAAAAATAATACTAAAACATAAGTAGCAAATCTGAAAAGAAATAGTGTAAGATAATAAGAAATTCTTACCTACGACCTGAGAAATCCTTATTTTTGTTCAATCAAAATGTTATGGTTGGAATTATTAGAATTATGGGTCTATATTAAGATAACTCTCTAATTCCAAATCAGTTCATTTGTTTGTTTATTAGTGACTGTTTGTTGGTTAGCTAATTTGTTGTTCAAAAAGAGTAAACATTGTAGGCCCTATGTACTTAAACTTCAGTATATTCTACACAACTTTTCTTTACCTCCAAAATATCTGGGCCACTCTTAATGTAGTACATAGTAGCATCATGAATAGAGCAGGGTGTTTGGAAAAGTTCTTGGAAAAAACATGAATAAACAGGGATTTTTTTTTTTTTTTTTTTTTTGGTTTTGGATAAACTGGGAAATCTCTGGAAATGTTTTCCTAAACCGGGAATTTTTTAAATTTTAATGTTTTATTTTTGAAAAATTTGTCTAAATTTCAAAACGTATCAATGAATTTTTCCAATATTTCACCATTAAATTAGAAAAATGAAAAAAATATATTGTCAGTACGTTTTGCACTGATCATTTTTAATAAAAATTATTTCACTTTATTGGAATTATGGGTGAAATGACAAACCGCGAATTTCCATTCCCCCCCCCACCCCAAAAAAATAAAAAAAACGTGAATTAACAGGGAATTTTGTATAGGAATTTTTGCTAGACACGCTGACAAGCGTGTTCAGCAACATTCGAAAACTAGAAATAGTCGTTCCCCAATAATATTTACACGTGCAAACGAACTGCAGAATTGATTTATGGAATTTGAAACGAAATAACAGCTCCTCCCTCCCCAGGGAGTTGTTACTTCCTAGGACCGACCTGGTGGAAGACGAGCTCCTCGCGCGGGAAGCGGAAGTGGCAGCCCTTGGAGCGGTAGACGCACGCCAGCAGCAAGTGGTCGGCGCGCTCCTCCAGGTGGAAGGCCACAGCGCGCGGCAGCGGCGCGCGGCACAGCGGGCAGCGGCCGGCGTGGAACGCCACGCACGTCACGCACAGCGCGTGCTCCGCCTCGCACGTGTACGCGGGCGCGTACACGAAGCCCGAGCACAGCGCCTGATTGGCGCAGCGCAGCGCCGCCACCGGGTCCTTCTCCTCCCTCTTCCACTCCTTTTTCTCCTTCTCCCTCTCGCCCTTGTGTTTGTTGGCCTTCTTGTTCTTCGGCTTGGGTTTACGGTGCGCGGGTCCTTCGGGTGATACTTGAGCCATGGCCTGCGAAAAGTGTACTTTTTAACCGTCATGGTATGCACCCAAAGAAACAAATTAGGCATTGCTTAGGTCAGGGACGGGGGCAGAGGAAGATGAGGTCAACGCCCTTCCTCCGCCCCAAGTCTATTTTCCTATCTACTGGAGCACGAACGATATACGTCAGTTCCTGATTTTCTTCAGGATACGACTTCATGGTTTATCTGTGCGTTCGGGCCTAAACCGTGTGGTTTAATAAATTTGGGACAGTGAAAGTGAAAACGCGAGAGGTGTTATTACAGGTAAAGCTCAGCTTATAATGTAAAACAAGCGTGCGCCAAACCATACAGGTGAAATTGGCACGTATTCGAAATGCTTTTGAACTCTAACACAGCCATTGGAGCTAGTTACTTAAACGAGATAGAACTGGAACGAAAGCAAGATAACGTCTTATTATCTCACGCAGAGGTCCGAATAACCTCGCGCTCCTAATCTAATCCTGACAGCTGCGCTGCAGCCGTTTGCTGATGTCGAAAACCAGATCATCAGAAACAGTACACCGGTTGCAAATTACAGATGTACAGCGCTTTCTGCATGCCAAAATAGCGTATTCTGAAGTAGCTTCCCATCAACTGACTAACGACTAATTCTTGTTAATAAAATAATAAATTAAAATTTCACGATTTAACGTTTAAAGCTTTATCTAAATTCGATTGGTGCTATATTGCTTACATTTTCTCACGCTGTATTAAATTAGAAAATTCCCGCTTAATAAATAGGATTGAAATATCATCCGTTGAGGGCGCACCATTCCACCAAGCAATTTTTCTATATCCACCGAAATTAATCTGATAGACGAGAAAGGAATTATTATCTCACTAAATGCCGTTAGGCATTTCAATGACGTAGTTTCTTTTGACTTGAATATCCTAACTAGCCTAAAATTACATAGCTTTGCTCGAATATCGTAACGATCTTCGGAAAAAATATCTTCCCCCCTCCCACCAAAAAAGAAACTGTACGTAGCTGTTCGAAAAGAGATTGCGTTGAACACTACCTATTCAAATATAGAGCATGTTTTCAATACCATTTAATTGAAAATGTGAATTAAATCCCATGTATTTATTAAAATTGTGCAAGTCATAATAATCTGATATTGAATTATACTATTACAAGAAATATAATTCACTGTTATTCTAATATTTGATTTTGATGAAAGACATTAGTGTATAAACAAATGGCACAGTGAATTGCGGTAACAACAACAACAACAACAATAATAATAATAATATTAACAACAATTTACTTGAGCCAATAATATGACGATTCAATGTAGATTTCTCATTTTGCGGAACTGTAAATGACCACACTAGTAGTTGTACATCGCTGTACAGCTGAAATACTAGCTTTATTCGTTTGGGGCAAGCGTCTCGGTTTAGGCGACAAAACCACATGTGTGGTCAACAATTCGCTCAGAGTTAAAATGCGATAAGACACGTCCGGCGACCACCCAGCGGAACTTCTCCCGAGAAGTAATACGAAATTTTACACAATAGAACATTGATACATCATCATCATCATCCAAAAGGCAAAACGTGCCTTGTCGCTGACCCACGACATTCTTTTCTCCGTTCAGTGGCGTAACGTTCGGGCCCGCAAGGCTCGCAATGCGGGTGGGCCCATGGAAAAGACGGCCTATTTTTAGGGGATACTTTTGTTATTTTAGGTACTAATACTACTTGTGTTTGCAATTCACATTTATAAAGGAGGCCCGGGTACAACCATTGCGGGCGGGCACGACACTCATTCCGTTACGCTACTGTCTCCGCTGTCCTTTTCATTTGTGTATAGATGGTGAAGTTTAGATGTTTTTGGTATTCCTCTAAATGTTCATTCTAGGTCTCCCTCTTCCCCTTTCTTCAACTATTTTGCAGTCAAAAACGGTACCTAACAATTTGTTCTGTCAGAAAATGTGTCCACAAATATTTTTGTTTTTCTCATACCGAATATTCTGATTCTGAATGAATACATGGCTGGCTTTTATTAATTCTCCTGCATCACGGAATTTTCCTCGAGGTATCTCCTTCAACGGGGCACCGCCCCTGCCGGGACAAGCTCTCAGCTCGTGATCGGTGCCCTGGCATATGAAGTAATGTAATACAAATGTAGGTGTGCGCGCATGTGTGTGCGCGCGCGCGCGCGTGCGTGCGTGTGTGTAAAGGGAGAGAATATTAGGGCAAGGAAGAAGAAGGAATGGATGTCCGGGACCATTTGTTAGGGTTTTGTTGGTACTGAACCCTTCAACTTCTCAGCCAAAGTCGCTGCTGAGACAGACACTGAGCTAAACTCATCCGATGGCACGTCTTAATCAATTGGATCTGATATGCAGAATATTATGATTGGTAATGCGATTTTGCATTAGTGATAAATTATAGTAATGTTTTATTTTAAAAGTAATATATTTTACGTTAAGAGTAAAATATAAAAGAGAAAAATATAAATTCAAGCACAATCATAATTCAATAAAATTCAATTTGGATCGATTCCTGTTCCTGTTGACTGTTGTACACGCAGGTGTTTTCAAATGTGATTCGAGACCCTCCTTTTCGATAATCATTTATGACTCGAATGTAAATTTTAGAAACTGGCAATTTTATGTCACAAATTGTTCTCTATTCCACCTTCACAAATTGTTTTCTTTCCTTTTGGATGAAGAAAGCAGGACTTCACTTTCATTACTTCGTTTTCTTTCCGATTTCTGGTTCTCAGCTTGTAGATGTCAATGTGGAAACATAATGAATGTTCTAACGAAATAAAATTTGTGTACGAAGCTGCAAGTCACCTGAATTTAATTGGAATACTTGGAAAAACATTTCTAAAGAAGAGGAAAAGTAGTTGCGAGCAAAATAACTTAAAACAATGAATCTGAGCCAAGCAATTCTAAACCGATGCTTTCGGGCAGTTCTCGTTTTTCCCAGTACTGCAGCCCCCGCTACAGCAGATTAATACTTGTGTCATACGTCATACGTCAAGTCATGCGCATTGCCAAATTATGGCGCGCTCTAATATTATTAAAATATTTAGTATATGAACTAAAGGAAATGAATATGAAAAGAAAAATCTTAGCAGCTAAAAAAATATTAAAATATTTTGACGTATGTGTATACTAATATTAACTATTTAAAAATATTGGGAACAGGGAACATTGAGACAGGGATCACAAGCACGTGATCTTTCTGCTTGTGCATTAACCATCTCCTTGGGCGAAGACTATTCACGATTTACGTCTGTATGGCCCCATATGCAAAAGAGCGCTGTTACACGTGAGCAGGTTACAAACAAGTTGAACAAAAAAAATAAAAAATAAACATTAAATATCTCTATCAAGAGTTGTTAGAGGAGCAACATATCACAAAATAAATTCGCTGGTGCAATTACTCGTTCAGCATACTAACCTCGCTTCTGTGAAATCACGTAGCGAGATAAACCGCTGGCACGGCCACGTACACAGCAGCGAACGCCTCGCCGCGCCGCGCCGCGTTGTCTTCTTAGCAGCGCCGCTACAGCGACTGTTTGAGGTCGTGCGGCCAATCCGCAGGTGTGGCAACTGGTAAGAGCTCGCCACCAGGTTTACCAACACTCGCTGCAGGGAAACCACAAATTCTTGCTCTTTCTTTCTAATAATCGTCCAGTGGATAATTTGAAAATACCGTTCAATTCCTCACCCTGACATGTTTATCAAAAGGGTTTTGTGAAGAGATTCGAAGTACAATAAACAAACTTTAGAAATAATGTATGAAAATAATAAAATCATTTTTCGAGTAATAGATGCAGATTGTTACCCATATAGGGACACGTAGAGAAACTGAGAGTTAAACCACATTCTCAGTGCTTAAAAATATACTGTACGAAAATTTAACTATTAGCATCACAACCTGCAAGTATTTGTTACGGCGATTATAACTTTGAAATAGCATTAAGACCATTGGGTGTTGGGAAATTTTTAACGGGAGAAGAACATTAACAGCTACTAAGATTCATTGGTAAGTCCAAAGTCTGATACTGAAAAGAACATATTTGAACAAAGCTGGACATGAAAGAAATTTTCAACACATGAAACTATTTTTAAAACAGCGTCGACGACCCCACATTTTACTAGTATTTGTAGTATTTTAAATCTTAATATAATATCGTTTAATAAATTGTATGTTATAATGACGCGTCGTCTTATATATTCCATGAAAATGTAATTGATTTTGTCATTAAATGCAAATCTTGATGTGGAAAAGTCATTTTTTTCATTTGCAGAGTCTGAAATTGAATATTTTTTATTTAAAATAATATCCTTGTGTATTATTAATTACATCAATTTATTAATTTAGCAAAATTGTCAAAAATTAATAAAATACAAATTTAAGCGTTGGGCTCCGCAGCACCCTCCCCCTTTGGAAATGTATTGGGACCATTATTGATATTGATAGGGCTAACATTTTCCCTCCTACATTAAAATGAACGTTCAATATATTTTATAACTTTCGAAGTTAAAAGTTGTTGGCAGATAGTTGATATTATCAGCACATCCACATGTTATGTAATATCAGCTTAAAGTGGAATTACATGATCTGCGTTATCGATGAGCGTTTCATCTATAAAGAAATATTGCACCCAAGAAATATTTGTGGAGAAATCACTTCTGAAACTTTCAACTTAACTTTTATTGTTTCTAGATCTCTGAAATACTGACGCATTCTATAATTCTTATATTTTTGATGCCATAATCCCGAATGTCACTTGGTTGATTGATGACTAGATACTTTACTTAAAAATATACAAATTAAATTAAAAATATAAAACCAAGTTTCAAATACACAGAAAAAACATTTCGAAGAATAAATCAAATCTCCCATACATTTAGACTTTCGGTTCCGCAAAGACTTACATAATTTATTTTTGCAAAATTAATGAATCAAGAAACAAAGTGTATGTCCGAAATTAAAGTTTACTTTTCCGTGCGTTACATCTTTTTGCCTTACTACATGCTTACGTACTAAAGGGAATAGTATATTCTTCAACGAGCGCATAATCATGTTTATTATTCACGAGTTGATGTTTACAACACCAGGGACATAGGAGAGAGTGTAGTAATTTCTACGAGTGAATAATAACCATTATGCGCTAGTAAAATACTCTACTTTACGACCTTGAAATATTCAGAATAATTAAAAAAATGTTTTGTTTGAAACTCAAGTGTAAGGACTATCTACACCAAATAGTGCTGTAATAGCATAAGATACATAATAAGTCTGAATATATTTTCTGGCAAAATTAAGGGTGAAATTACTGCAGTTTTAAATACTTATCACTGGTTGTGTTGACTCATCAAAATTGACATCAGTATCAGTATGTGATGATGTGGTAAGGTATTTCACAAGTTTTTGTTATATTCCACAGATTGCAGTATTTTGTTTGCAGCGTTCAATTTGTTTGCCTTAGAATCGTCTATATAGCCTTCAGCTACAGTCGTACTCTAATAATTGTAGAGTTATCGAATTCGCTATTTTATTAATTTAAGGTGGAGTACAAATTTCATTGTCACTGTCGCTGGCTTCAAGATTAATTATCTGTTGAATTATAAATACGAAATGTAGGAAAAAGTTTATGGCATGAAACTGCGAAATCGTTCACTTCTCTATTGCGACTCAAAAGAAGAGCGAATAACAAAGAAAATATAATAAAATAAGGACAAAATTCCACTTTTTCTTAATAGCTAAATTTTTTCTTTACGTTATTGCACGGTTAGTGCTAACTGTAGTGAATAACATGCCATAAATACTACCTTTATTTATTTATTCTTTTGTTTTTCTACAATTACACAAATGTACTTTTTTTTGAATCGCCTCTTTGTCGTATTTACAAGACTGGCATTTCTTATACATTATCTCTTTTGCAAGCACAATTTCTACAAATAGTTTCTATTAGTGCTTGTGGAAAACAAAAATGTTTTTGGTGAAAAAGAGCTTTAAAAGACGCGTTTTTGTTGAATTGCTCAAACGACATGACAAGTATGACCAGATTTTAAGCTTTCGTAATATTCTTAAAGTAATATTTCAATTCTGCTGTTAGGTATCCGAAAAATTGGAGAAACGTGAAACAATGTGTTTATAGGAGCCAATAGATGGTAACTGAGAAGAGGGTGGGACCAAAGGAAAAGATAACCTTGACTGAAAAGATATGAAAACAAATTAGTACGAGAAAGTCTGTGCCATTCACTATTACCACTTGCTTAAACATCAATGATTACCTTGCGACTTGGGGAAAAGAATATTTCAAACCTCCCGCAAATAAGGCTAACACTGCTCTCTGTTGGAAAAATATGAAACGATGTCGACAAAGTGCTGCCGCTAGATGGCAGCAAAATCTAAACACGCCATGTGCTGCGATCTGTCTAATATAACTCAAAACGTCGACCCTTTTATGCTCGTAGCTAGACAGTATACGACGTAAGACTATTAAAAATAAAATCATCAGTTCTTGGACTTAATGCTTTTGTTATATATTCTCTCTTTCCATTGGATCCTTCAGCAATTTCAGGTAAGCATTCGAGATCTCGCGCTTTTAGAGTGAAATAACTCTAGGTAATGAAACTTTGATCACGAAAATAATTGAACTGGTTTCGATTTTTTTGATCTATCAATAATAATAATAATAATAAATTCATTCAACAAAATAGAATTAGTACTCTTTAATTTCATGGACTTTATTTTCTTAGTAAAGATTCTATTTGTTTGAAAATTCCGTTTTAATGTATAGGTATCGAAGTATCCAACAATATAATTTTCTTGCAAAAATTGAAACCAGTACCAATTATAATACGCCTTTTGATACATAAGAGAAGGCAATTTTTAAGAAATAATTTAGAGACTTTTTTTTTAAAAAAAAGAACTAAAAAATAACTCGACTACCTACAGTGATTTTGCATTCGTTTGGTATTACGAAACATGATAAAAGAGGAATATACATTTATCAGTATTCAAATTTCTCTGAACTATAGGGATAAAAACGAAAAAAATCGTAAATTTTAATTGTTTATTAAGGATAATTGCATTTTGATCAATAAAATTGAGAATAGGCAATATTTAAACTTTGAAACTTGAAATAGGGATTTAGCAGTGAAGTAGTCATTTATAGGCACTGATACTCCTAATACCTCAAACTAAATAAGTAACGTAAAATATTGCGTTTTCCTTTGACGGAAAAACAGAAAGAACGAAAAAAAAAGAAAAAAGAAAAAAAAGTAGGCAAAAATCCGCGGCCTAGTCATAACTAGAGACCGGATTTTTATATATAATTTATGTGGTTCAACTTAACGTTCTCAAAAACATAATCGCGGTGAAACGTTGCAGGCCTAACACAATATCCAATATTTTCGTTACATATTTATTATACATATTTGCTATTTTCACAAAATGTTTTTTATTCACTCAATTTTCTTCAATTTTATTACTTTTTTGAAAACATGCGGTCGGATGTTCATTTAAACAAAATTTGTTTAAGATATTTTGTTTACATGTAATTTCGTATTATGTAAATGTGTTTTGTAATTAGAGTATTTTAATATTACATATTATTACGGTTTTATATATTTTTACATATTCTTACTGATTTATTTACATATTTTGACGTTTGATAGTATATATTTTTTCGGTCTTTAGTCACAACATATAGTATGTTTTTATGTAAACATTAATTAAGGAAGTCGTTTACTGAGTTGTATTTTAAACAAAACTGGTAATGTTACAAAAATAGCAGAGGTTTTCTCGAACTACGAGTAGTTACTTCTCCTTTCTTTTGAGTCGGGGTTACCTTTCCGACTTTGCCCCTGACCCTTGGAATTTACCGTCTATCTGCTTATAAGAAACCAACGAGGGCATTCCACAGTAATTACCCATCTCTCATGGACATTCTTAGTGAAAAGCGGCTTCGCACTCCCCGAACATCACGCCCAGGAGGCCCATAGACCCGCGTCGGCCCCATATATATGTGGTGGAAGCCCATGGCCTATTTCGGTTCTTGTAAAATGCAATAATGCGCTGAAAACACTCACAATTCTGATTTTGAACCAACACTCTCTGCTTCCGTGTCCTCGTGCTTGGGTGGACTTGCTACTCGACTGTACATTGTTTGGAAACGTGTTCCGATTATGTAAAATAATAATAATTTAATAAAATAATAGCGGAAGTAAAACTAACAATCTGGCATTATGTGTGGCCTTTTATGTACTTTGCAATATTGAATCTATGTATCTCAATGACATTCAACATAATTCGAAAATTAACAAAGTTGTAGATTCTTTCAACCGCGCATAAATTAATGACCAATTTTATGAGTAACCCGAAATTAAATAACCTTGTACAAAAATGTAGATTAGCGCTTCCCAATCTGTGGGCCGCGACTCCCAAGAGCGTATTAGTGGACGTGTCGAAGTTAGAAACATACTTAAAGAATGTGATTACCATCAAATGAAGTTTCATTAATTGAACCATCACAAAACCAAACTTTAAAACAAGTTTTGGAAACATC